GGGTTGTTGTGGGGAAAATAGGAGGAGGAAGGAGTATTAGGTATGTTCGCTGCCTTGAGTTACCTATGAAAATAATAAAGGGATAAAAAAATATTTTAAAAAACCTTCATTTACCTGGAAGTAAGGCTTTTTTCCTTAAAAAGTTCACTTTTTCTTTATTCCTGAAAGAAGAACCACAAGGTTGAAAAGTGCCACCCCTGCTCAGTGCTGGAATCTAAATGAAACCTCATGAACAAATGGCTGTCTTACCTCTTCCGGAATCCATACAGTGAGGGAATCCCACCCCCTTCGTTGGTCAAACAGCTTCTTGCCACTAAGAAGCTGATCCTGCTACTCACCAGGAGCCTGCACTCCTATAAACCCAATATTCCATGCCCTGCATTCTGAGACCAAAAAAAAAAAAATAGGCCTTGGCCTGTGGGGTACCCATAACTATCACCTTCCCCCTCCCTGCCATCTTTTCTCCAACTAAAACGTTCAGTTCCCTCAGTCTTGCTTCATTACTTTCTGTCCGAGATCATTCTCCTTCGTGAACTGGTTCCAATATGGACACTTTCACACAAGGATTGTGTTCCAGTTCAAAATTGCCTGTGGACCTGCTGGATTTCATGACATTGCTCTATTTTGAGAGCCAAGGCAGTTCTTCCTGTCTCTGATCTGCTTGAAGCCAAACTGCTCTTTTCTTTTGCAAGGCTGGAGCTGGTGAACAAAGTGATCTGCCCCAGTGAGAAAGCTTGCCTCTCCCTGCCCCTGAGCTCATTGCAAAGCAGGAGCTAAACCAGAAAAAGAAGCAGCCTGCCTTTTTGGAAGAGACATCTTGTCCACTCGGTGCCTTTTGCCTGCGTTCCCATGTGCCCAGGAAGAATTGTAAGAATCTGCAAACTTCAGAAAAGCCCAAATCAATCCCAGCTGCAATTTACAGTACAGTGGAATTCCTGCAGCCTCTCTCTATTATGTAGGACCCATCTTCCACACAGCAGCCATCCTAGCAAAACACAGTATGGGTTATGGGGGGGAGCAGTTTGGTGAGAGGGGGTGTTGTGTGTTTATTTGTTTAGGGGAAATTTCAAGGCTGGGCAGTGTTTGAATTACATTTTTGGACTCTTCCATTGTTCAGTAGGAGGGCATGCTGGCTCATAATGATTTCAACATGTTTCCTGCTTTTCAGCAGCAGTGAAGACCGTTGCAGGCCAATTGCAAACTGCTTTGAGGCTGGGGAATGAAAATTATTGGGGGTGGAAGTGCCCTGTGCTGGACTCAAGATGGGAATAGCCTATGCAGAATACAGTAGAAAAAAAAACATATTTACCAAAAGGGGGATAAAGTGAGCACTTTCTTGAAAATTCAAGAATGGAATAGCATTGTCATTGAGTTATGTCATACCTTGTAGCTGTCCCTACGCAACTGTTAGTGTGAGGTTTACTTAATGTTTGCTTTATGAAGGAACACAGTTGGCTGAATCTCTAGAGTTTGTTCAGCCACAAAACAGCTCACCACCAATGATTTATGTGAATCAGTCACTCCTAGACTAAAATCCTTATTTCAGAGAAACCCATCTTATCTGCTGCCCATTTCCTTCCCTAGGACAGTGGAACTAACCCCCTCACACAAGCATGTTCTTAAGGTATCTTCCAAATAATTAAGGTGGTCAGTTGTCATCAGTTAAGCTGAACTGAGGAATCAAGGAAAGTTGAAGGTTGGGGACAGAATCCAACATCTCTGGAGGGGGGTTGTTTTAATAAATTTCATTTATTTTATACTTATACAATTAACAAAACGTTAATCTTAATGAAAAAATAAAAAAGAATCCTATATCTTTGTTTTCAAGTGGTTGGGTTGGCACACACTAAGCTATGATTGTTTTAACTGTAGTTTGTTGAACAAGCCACAGAGGTTCACATAGAACACTAAGCCATATATGATGGTTCTGAACCCCAGTGGGCAGAAACTAGCACATGTGAACTTAGAATTCAGCAACCACGTTGTGGCTTCTTGCTCTGTAGGAATCCAGTTGAGTTCAAGAAGAGTTGGAGTCAGAGAGGAAGTCTTAGTGTCTTGCTAGTTACATCTTGCAATCCCCCGTATTTGCACACCCTCACACCTGTTGGAACTCTGCAGCAGCTCAGATGTCTGAGAACTGAACCTGGGGCTTCAGACTTGTCTTCCAGTCCTTCACAGCTTTAACATGAAAGAAAAGAATGAATTTGCCAGGAGGATTTGCAGAGATGCTATCCTTTGGGGAAAAGTCCAGCAAAGAGCAAATAGCTTGGCAGCATTTAAAGTAAATGAGGCAATTCCACTCATTATCTTTATGATAATAATAGTAATTACATCATTAACCTTCCTAGCAACTTTCCCAAGAGAGCTGAGAAGTTCTGTAATGCACATTCATCATAATGATATGGTGGCCTTAGGCTACAATCTTCAAACCACTTACTCTGAAGTAGTCTAATAGAGTCCCTTGGGTACCTTTCAAGAGTAAGGGGGGGGGGGGGGGGGTATTGGCTTCTTTGGGTTAGAAATGGGCCTACCTGCTGAGAAAAAGGACCAGGGAAGCACCCACCCGCTTGGAGCTTGTCCTGAGGCACCCATTGAGCAAATGGTAGAGCCCTGTGTATGAGCATGTTTGTGACATGCTTGCAGGACTCCACATGTCGGCATGAGCCTCGGAAGGGGAGGGGGGGCCTCCGTTCTCATGCAAGACTTTGTGTCAGTTGTGGGAATGTGCGGAGGCAGGTGTCTCTCCCCACATCTGCAGCTCAATATGTGTGGGGACTTGTGCTCAGTTTTATCGCTACTTCTGTCTCCCACTTGGGAGGTGAGGTGTGGGGAGACCTTCCCTGCATTCAGACAAGGACAGGAGAGGATGCCTCCCCCCAAGCCTCTTCCCCCCCCCCACCGTCAGAGCTGGACAGGGCATTGGCGTGATGCTTTGGGCTCCACAGAGGCTCCTTGCCCAGTGGACCAACTTGACGTACATGCTACTAGTTCCCAACTCTCATGTAGCCTACTAAGAGAAAAGAAACCACTCTACCATTTTACGAAGTGGAAGGTTCTTACCTAAAATAACTAGGCAAATGGTTGGTCATTTTGCCCAATGGATTTCAAAGGTAGCAACAGAACCAATACAGTGGTACCTCGGGATATGAACTTAATCCGTTCCGTGACTCTGGGCGTATCCCGAGTTGGTCGTAACCCGATGCAAATTTCCCCATAGGGATCAATGTAAATCCGGTTAATCTGTTCCGCCCTCTGACTTTGGTCGCACCCCGAAGCAAATTTTCCCATAAGGTTCAATGTAATTACCATTAATCCGTTCTGGTGTCCGCGGACCACGTGTCAGGGCAGAAAAATGGCCGTACCCCGAGGCGGAGTTCGCACATCGAGGTAAATTTTTGCGGCCGGAGCCGCAAACCTGAAAAGTTCGTTAGTAGAGGCGTTCGTATCCCGAGGTACCACTGTATTGTAACGTTTACTATAAATAGCTTTAAAGAGAATAAATGCAGTTAACAAGAAATCACTCCTCCAGTTTGATACAGTCATAACATTTGAAAATCTGAACTATAAAAATGTTTAAAATGCCTGGGGGGAAAGGAGCAGCTTAGCTTTGCACCAGAAGGATAGCGATGGGAATTCCGGGAGTTGAAGTTCACACGTTTTAACGTTATCAAGGTTGGAAAACGCTGATCTAGACAGGGCTACGGAATACAGGTTCAAGAACGAATTCCGTTCCCAAGATGTGTCCTGGAAAAGGTGCTCCCAGATCCTTCTGGTCTGCCAGCTGCACCTCACAAAAGCTTCTGCCTTGTAATAAATGTGTTCTTTGGAAAAGGTGCTTCCAGATTCCTGATCTTTTTGCCACCCTAGACAGGAAAAGGGGAGGTTTCTGTTGCAGGAGGAGTGTGAGCACAAGATCATCGTCCTGGCACAAGCGGAGCAAGAAATCCAACGTTGCTGGGGCTGGCAGGCCGGGTAGGATGGGAATTGTGTGCCAGTGCCCCCAGCAGGCCACAAGTCGGGCAAAGCTGGGTTTTTCTTTCTGCTTTTCTCGGACGGCCCGCACTCCTGCAAGCTGAAAGGTGCCCCTCACTTTGTGACACTCTTACGGTTTCTGCAAGCACGCGATGAGCTTGGGTTCCTCTTTCCCAAAAGGCTAAAGAAAGCCTTTTGCTTCTTTTTTATTCTAGTTTAAGTCCCTGCTGTCCCCTCAGAAGGAGAATCGGTTAGGGATCTCCCCTGGCCCCAAATTATGCTGCTTAGCCCTTGGGGTAAGAATTCTTGCATTGGGCAAGAATTATATAAATCTATACTTTGGTTAAAGTTTTCAATTTTTAAATTTAGATTAATAATTTTCCCTTTTCTAGTTCCTGCATTTCTGACATGAGATGGGCCCGTGGGGTCTCTTCCTTCAGCTAAGGAGAGCGGAAAGGTCTCTCTACAGGCAAAACCTGTTCGTGGCTTGACGCTTCCGATCAGATTGATCCAATCAGCAGCACCCAAGAGCTCCCCAGCTTTCAGAGGGAGAGATGATGTTTTGTTTCAGATGGCAGTTTTGTGGAGAATTTTGAACAAAGAGAAAGATTGAGTCAAGTGCACTTAAACTTTATTAAAATAATGAAAATATTAACCAGCATGTTTCAACTGTGTCTTCCTTTGGGGTTGCAACCTAATGTTAACAAATAGTATTATTTGGAA